GTCGTCTTTCTTCTCTCTCTCTCTCTCTCTCTCTCTCTCTCTCTCTCTTCCTCTTTTCTTCCTTTTTTTAACGTATCAATATATATATATATATATATATGGAGATTTTACACGGCATTCGTCGTCGTCGTCGTCGTCGTCGTCGTCTCTGCCTCTGGCCAATCTATCGAATTTTTTACGGTCCTGTAATCACGCATAACAATCAAGCTCGATTTGATAACGATTGCGGTCACTTTTTTTTAATGATTCGTTAACGTTAACACCGTTGGCGTGCCGGATAATGGCGATATTAATAAAAATAAAGGATACCCTCCCGATTTTAAGCCTGATTTTTATTTTAGATTTTTCACAAGTATTCGCGTGCCTCGTATCACCTCCTCGTCGAGTCGAGCTAATTTATTAATAAAATCGTGCCACGTGAGAAACGTTATGCATTTTCGTAAATTTGCCTTTTTTACGAGCAATTGTTTGCTTGTACTTTCTTTCTTTCCTTCTTTTTCTTAGACGGGTTAGAGATACGAATTTTCAGATACGATTAGACTGCGGTTTATGCAAAAATTCGTATTTTATTTATTATTTTTATGCTTTTTTTTTTTTAATTTACGAGTAAGGAAAGGAATGATAAGAGAGTGGAGATTCGTTTCACTGTTTCAATATGAACTATATATAACGAAATATCAATATATCGAGATAAACAAGAAACAGAAAAATTCAACTTTCCAGAAATTTAACGTTCCTTTGTTTCTGTATTTGAACAATTACCATTTATTTTCTTCGCTTATTTCTACACATGGAACTATAACTTCGAAGAAGCTATTCGATCGTTACAATTTCACGAGGATATCGCGTTTAAAAAATGGACGTTGAAGTTATAGAATAGATGGAAAAGGTGTAAGTAGATTGTTCGATAAAAGGGAATCCCGTTGAACGGGAAATTCGGTATTATTATCGCGACACGAGCCAATTGGCCTCGATTTGCATTTCCCTCGCCACCGTTACATTTCCACCAATATCGCTAAGTTGGAAGCGTAAATTTTACGAAAATTCCCTTATCTTGCCCGCGGAATGTATCGTGAACCTCCGTTCAACGTTGTGAATCGTAAATGTATCAATGCACCGCCGATGTTGCGATTCCTCGGTTGCAAACTGCGCGTGGAACATTCGCATGGAAGTTTCATTGAAACTTGCGTTTATATGGTGAAATTGATATTGGTGGAAACGCGCAGATACGAATTAAACTTGTCTCGATGAAGTCGTCGCTTCTTTTTCTTCTTCCAGTATTAACGTGGCTCGACGAATAAAATGATTTATAATAATCGCGTGAAGTTTTCACGATTGACTCGTAACGATCTGCAAAAATTATGAACGAGATCAAATCATATTTGATCAAAAGTTTCAAAAATCGTATCGTATTTTTATTAAAATTTTCGTCAATATTTAAAATTCTCACTTACTTTAGACACTTTAGAATCAATGTATTTCCCCCTGAATTAATTTATTAGTCAAAATAACAAAAATTAATCGAATTCGATCGAGTCGAGAGCGGTAATCGTTTAAAATTCCCGCCTTTCCACGCGCCTTCCATTTTTTCGAAAGGCGGGAATTTCGAACGATCGCGTGGCGGCAAATTCGAATCTCTTGCATCGCGCCTCGATCGTTTCTCGCATTTTTCTCGATGAGAGATGGAAAATCTCGGTGAAAAGGAGGGAAAAAGAGAAGAGAAGGTCATCGTCACGTAATCGTAAGACGCGAAAAGGCGAACGCGAGCCAACATCCCTCGAAGAAATACGATACACCCTGTGTTCGTTCGCAAGTCGCAGCCGGCGGCAGCTGCGGATAAAAGAGAATTGCTTTAATTACGGCATGCCATTTGCAAACAGCCGCGCGTGCACTTTGATAGCCATGCTTTGCAGCTCATTTCTGAGAGAGTAGGAAACGGCGGAGAGAGAGACCTTTCCAGAATTTATGTACACGTGTTATGTGCCTTTACCCGCTCTACATGCCCATTACTAATCCGCGCCGCTACTTCCACCCGCCCATATTAATCCTGCCTCTACATATATACTATAACCTCCACATACACGTACACGCTTCTGCATATACTACGCGCGTGTAAATGTATACTACGTGTACACATTTAGTAGTAAGTACGTATACTTCGTAGGAAAGAATGGAAATAACCACGGTTGCTTATATCACTCACCGCTCTCGTGATCCTGTAATACAATTGCGTTCGAACCGCGGTTTAAGATCCGTGTCACGAATTAAATATTTTCGATTCCTTGGACACTCGTTAATCCCTATTCGTAACCTTATTTAAAAAAGTGTCTCCATCTAGAGTGAAAGAGAGATGCACAGAGGGTTCCATCGATTGATATTCGCGCCTCCGACCCGATTCACCCGCGACTCGACCTGCGTTAGAATTTAGATGGGTGCATTAGGGGGAATTTAGCGCGCTTCGAAACACCTCCCTGTATTAACGATCGTTTGTTATTATACCGTGCATGTGTCGCATTGAATCCGCGTTAAATGGTTTTCGGGCGTTGGGGGGAGGGGGGTTGAAACGGGTTTGGATTCGCGCTGGTCCAAAGGTGGAGGGGGCGAAAGAATTGTATCGGTGGAGAGGCACGTGATGGAACTAACTATGAGGTATATGCGCGATGAAAGGTCGATGCAAAATTAAATCCGACGCGTGAAGCGTGGAGGGGGGGAGGCGTAATTGTACGAGGGTGTATCATCATTATCAAGTGATTGGATTAATTGAATTAGAAAATTGCATCGATGATGGGTAATGATTGAAAAGAAAGTTTGTAAACAGAATACATTTTATTTTTATCATTTATGTAAACACGTCTGATATTGATAAAGCATCGTCACGAATTTTTATAATTACAACGATTAATAATGATTTTAAATCGCTCGCTGTACACGCGTGCATAGAATCAAGAGCTTTCTATATATTCTACGAAGAGAACATAGATACGTGGAAATTGAATTCCACTCGGCTTCACGCTCGCTCACGATCTCTTTTGCATCTATTCGATTACGATGGAATCTCTCGCTAACCTTCGTTATCGCGATTTTCTTTTCCTTCAGGAGGGTTCCGGACAATGGGTCAGCCTCGACTTGGAGCTCGAGATGAGAGGTGCCGAGATCATCGGCACGAAAAAACCAACTGGCCACTCGCTTCTCATAGACTGCCGTTTGGAGCTTCCGTTCGGTAAGTCAGCAGAAAATTTTTCATTCTATTCGGTGTAGAACAGTGGTGGAAGCATGTCTGTCGAATGTAAGTGTCGCGGGCGTATATATATATATATATGTATGTGTATATGTATGTATATATATATATGTACCCACATTACAGATAAATGAATAGAAAAATGGAATGATAATGGGACCGATTGTTAAAATATAATTGGAACAGCGAATATATATATATATATATGTGTGTATATATATATTTATTGCATATATAAAAATGGAATGAATTAAATGAAAAAAAAAAAAAAAAGGAAGAAAGAACGGACACTTTGTATCTTTGAAATGGAAAATATTTTCTCGGGTGTATCCTCTTCGAATTGCAAATAGGCCGTAGTTTTCGATCAACGTTTAATAACCATTAAAGACGTAGCATTGGAAATCCTTAACGGTTCATTCTGTTTTCCCCGATAAATCGATTCTGTCTTTCTTCCAATCTCTATTATTCCAATCTGTTTTAAGATTTCCACGAGAAAGGAAGAAAGAGAGTGGGAGAGAAAGAGAGAAAGAAAGAAAGAAAGAGAGAGAGAGAGAGAGAAAGAGTTCAATCGACTCGAAATAATCAAATGTTGTTTGTTTGTAAATTTGAAGTTGCCACCGTCGTGGCATCGTTTTACAATTCAAAGCGGAGGGAGAATAATCGTTAATGCAATTTTTTCGTTATTTTATCGTCGGGGATTGAATCGTTGGAAATAACGTCGGGAATCGGCCTCTCGGAATGAAAAAAATTTTTTATCGTCATTTTATAATCATTGCCATCCCCGGCTGAATTGTTTTATTAGTCGACATTTTTGCTGTGGATTAAAAAAGACCACGAGGCGTTTTTACGATTACGGCCGATGATTAAAAATATTCCGTTCATTTAACGGCCCGCGTATAATTCGTTCTGCTTCGAGAACGTGAATCCAGAGAGATCAAGGATACAATTTACGCGAATCTTTTACATTTTTTACTTGTTATAAAAATATTTATACAGGGTGGAGATCGTTAATTACTTTCTTCCAATTGTTCAAAATTACAATCTCCAGTATCGATTACGTTAAACTTGTATCTCTCGATGCCTGATTAAAATTAACCAAATAAATTGAAGATGATCTTAACTCGATGATCTTTCGAAATCCGTTCCATGGTAAAACGAAACGAATATATCTATCGATCCATCAATAATAACAGCACGGAATCCTACAGAAATGAAAATAATCGTGTTCGCGTTAAATAAAATCCACCCTGTATATTCGATACGAAAAACAAACAAACAAGCAAACGAACGAAAAAACGGGAACAACAAAAAAAAAAAAATAACTACCAATGCTGAAAATCGATGTTCCCGAACTCACGTTCACGTTCACGATATTCGTTTTCTATTCATTTATCGATCTTGCCCACCCCCTTAACGAACTTAAAGATCTTGCGAATCATGGTGCGCGCAATATGCGCCATGCTTTTCACGCGTTAACCAAGAATGGCGACGTTCTAAAGAGAAAAAGAAAAAAAATGAAACAAGTAGATCGGCTCTTTATTGCGCGAGATAGTTCGTCGAGCGTACAGCGATTGCCAAAAGTGAGAGGAAAAAACGTCTCTATCTTTTTGCCCCTTTATCTGTCATCAATTGTGCCACAATTTCTCTCGAAATCGATTCGTATTCGAATGATCGCGACGATCAGGGAACGTGTTGGAATCGTTGGAGACACAAACTGTAGCGTTAAACGGGCGGAAGTAAGAGGTAGATAGAGGTTAAACGAAGGAAATAGGATGTAGTGGTTCTACCGTTAAAACGGGCGAGAGAGAGAGAGAGAGAGAGAGAGGTGTAGA